CCATCCATCCATCCATCCATCCATCCATCCATCCATCCATCCATCCACTGAAATGACACTGCTGAAAATTGCAGTCATGCAAAGGCTCTTAAAACGGTGCTGCCTACGTTCTTAAAGATGCTATTGTTGCTTAAACTGCATGTGACAAAAGGAAATGTAAGAAACAACTGCAAATGTTATCTTTTCAATCTGTTTCTTTTATGTTTGAACAGCAATTACCTTCACATTTGACTTTGATTATGACCTTTTAGGAATGACAAAATTACAAAAAATGGGATAACGTGATAATGATTTTCTTTCATAATGTTATCTTTAGTTAAGGATCTCTTCTTGAATAATTGAAAATGTAATGATGACTCACTACATCTGAATCAGGGAAAAAAGGTTTAGCTTTCAGTTTATTCAAGGTTCACTGAGTATTTTTCTTTAGTAGCAGGTTTTCTGAGTCATCACAAAAGATAAGATGGTATACTGGACTCTTGGTACAGTGAATCCCTTTTGGGACACCTGCACGTTGCTTGTTTATTTCCAACCAAGTCTCATGGGGTACTCTAGCTTGTATTGCAGATAGAGTAAAAAGTGAGACTGAGTAGTGCTCCCTGGGCTTAGTCCAAGGAAGGTAATGTCAAGTGGGGTTTTGCAATAACTTGCATTGTACCGTAAAACTTCATCTGAGACTTCTGACATTTTTAAAGAATGCTTAATGTGCATAAAATAGAAAAAAATATTTAGTTGATGTAACAGAGAATGTGGCAGCCTTCTGTTCACATGGGAGCATGGCAGCCAAGGGAAAGTTGACAACTTCACTTCTCATGTTCTGTATTTTGGTTGTGATGTGAAATCCCCGTGGAGGAGGTTTAGGCGAGAAACTTCAGGAACTGTGTGCTTTTCAACACATTGGCAGTATATCTGAAATGTTGCAGTTTGTGCTCCTAACTTCTGTGCATCACAGAAAAAAAATGTTCCAAAAGTTAGAATCTCGATTCCTGGGAATTCTCTGCTTGACATTTGTCATTTAACAGATGTCAGCTGATCTCAGTCCGTTAATGTTGAGCAAGCACCTGGAGCTGACCACAGGGGGTGACTGAGAATGAGTCCATGAAGTTAAACATATATGCACAAATGAACATCTACACATACTATCTAAGACAGAGACTGTCTTGCTGTATGCTGATCCCAGTAGGATGCCAGGTGTAAAAAAAAAGCTGTGATAGTAGAAGCTGAAACGTATACATGGCTGTGTTTGCATTCTCCTTCTGTTTAATTAAAGAGGGATGTGTCAAAAGAAAAAAAAGTCACGCAGATGGCATGCAAAAATGAATTCGATCACACTTTTTGTGCCCTTGAGAAATTTAAACTCTCTGTGATCTCACCATCATTCTTTCACCATTGAGTGCCTGTATAGTATTTGAAAAATGTTTTAGTTAGTTGAGTAACGTCACTTCTCTTGCACACATGACCCTGACCAGCATAATTGCTCTGAGACAGTTGTTGAACATTTGCATTTTAGCCCTTTAACAAAGTTGTAATTTGAAGGCAGCAAATATTTATTTAGTCAGAATATTTATTGCTATAACATGAATTAGCCAGGCTGTCAAAATAAAGTGCTCCGTGGCTAAGAGGTGTTTGTGGAGGCTGCATGCAATTACAACTCAATTAAGCACATATCACAGCGTTAGAAGACAGAAAGTCGATTAGAAAAACAGACCAAAGGGGAAAAGAGAACAAGTGAAAGACAAAGAGCAAAAGAGAAGAAAACCGAGCTACTTTGTTGAACTGATAGGAAGAAAGCTCACTTGACCCTTGCTGCTGACCTGGCTCAGATTTGACCTCCCCTGGCACCAATACAAACTATCTCTGACATGTATTGCACGCTGAGCCAGGGCACCTCTCCAGCCGAGGATACAGCCCACATGGCAACAAACGGTGACAGTCAAAGATGTGCTTTTCCTTTTGGGAAGAGCAGTAAGTGGGTTATGGGATTCCATCTTACTCGGCGGCATCAGAGCTGAGATGCTAAAGGAATGTCACGGAGTGCCAGGAAATTTGCGTGAGGATATGGCTATGACAGAAGTAAGACAGCTGCCATCACGTCTGAGCATGTGAGAAGGCGAAAGTTCACAGGTGCCCATGAGAAGCAGCAGCAGATTATTTCTTTTGAATGCCTACTGTACATAACGAGAGGTCTGTCTCTCCATGTGGTGATCCTCCAGTCAAAGGCAATGTTCTTGAGGCCTTGTGTTGAATGTTTCATAATGTTTCCAGTGTATTATTCGGCTTTAAAAAGGACCATTACACAACCTGTGGGATGGCTTTTTTATATTGTCCATAATGTGGGTCAGCTAATTTCTTTTCAGCATTTTCAGATTTATATTTTTCTTTTCAAAGAAACATTTCATCCAGCACCAGGCTAATTCAACAAACTGAATTCCTACATCCAGTCATTCATTCCGCGGAGATATTGTAACACAAAAGCACAGAATTATAACCTTCTGTCAAAAGTCTTCATTTTACTGCTAAAAAGATCAGGTTCAGGCTTGAACCATTTCGAATGTAAATCTCCACCAAATTTTTAAAGGAAGCACACAAACAAAAATACACTCCCGGAATTCAAGGCTCCACAAGACCCTGACCCATATTATTTTATCCAATTCCAAAGGGGGGTGGGAAAAGCTATCACATTCATTCTTTATCATTCTTACCCAGTCTGTTGATAAAAAACAGGGGGGGGGGTTGCACGTGTTGAAAAATAGCACCAGAAATAACACGAGTGCCACATCATTCTATCATTGCGGTCCATATTTCAAAGCTTCCTTGCATCATCTGTGATTTCGAGAAAGCTTTGTGGCAGAAAATGAACCTATTCATATGCAGGGTGATTACTGACTGCGTGTATGTTTGTGCGTGTGTGGCATTAAATAGGCCTCGGTGATAAATCTGATAGCTCCTGCCACTGTATAAATATAGCCAGGGGATTTGGTCATGTTAGATGTTCCAGTTTCATCACCACGGAGTGCTCATCACATCAAATGGTTCGGGCTGAGTTCCTGAGCAATGAATAGCCCGAGAGGAGGACAGATTAGGGCGAGTAATACGTGGGAGCTATCATTTAGCATGACATACCTGACCACACCCGGGACAGTCGTTTCCATTTTCACAGGTTCTGTGTCGTGACTGGATGCCTCCTCCACAGGGTACATTGCAGCGTTCCCATGCCGACCAGGCAGACCAGTACACGTGGGGTGGGCAGGGAAGGTGTTCGTTACAGTACCTGAGCCATGACCAAAAGTACATAAAAAGATTAGTGTACCTCTCTATTTGATTGGTGACAAGAAGCACAAGAATGGAGATTCTAACAAAACAAACATGATCAAAACTGTAAGTTCAGTGTTATGCTACAAAATCCAACACCAGTGTTTGTTTTTGGTTTTCCTCTCATTGTCCTGTTTGTACCGCTCATTCTACATCTTGTTCCAGTAGTTTTGTGCTTGTCATGTAGTCATGATGGAATTCATGGGGCATTTTTGGCTGGAAAACGTGTCATGTTGCTTTCATGAGCTGAAAGATACCTAACTCAGTGTAGCTAAAAGCAGCAATGAGAGCACCTGTTAGAGCCCCGAGACCATCAGGGGAGGAAAAGAGGTAAAAATAAAATAGGAAAAACAAATTATAGGCCATGGTAGCTGGACTACTCGCTAATGCTACTGGTTTAATGCAAATTCTGCCAAAGGAAGTGTCGGGTTTGCGATCACTGTACTAAATATTCACTGCACTGAGTCACAAGCTGAGTGTGTCAGACTAAGTTTAGGCTGCAGCCTTATGGATAGATCATGCCAAGTCAATCAGTATCCCCCTGACCATGAGCAAAGAGGACATCCCATTCTATAGATACGTTTGAGGACGAACTTTTACTACAGCAGCTGTCCGACAACTCAAAAGAACACTGAAGTGAGATGCTGAAGATTAAAAACCACAACATCGTGGTAGCCCCAAAATACAATATTCCTCTAGTGCTACCCAGGACTGAGCAAATAAAGCAGATTTTTGCTGAAATTACAAGAGGAGATAAAAGTATTATGAGCTTCACTTAAAGCGTTTCCAGAAATTTTACCCATAAACAAACACCTTTTAGGCGGTAGCGTGTGAACCTCCCCCTCCCGGCATAAAGAAGAAAAACAAAGTTCCTACATCAGAAAATTTACAGAGAATAACCAAGCCTTTTAATCTTTTACATGAAGATGATTTACTTCAAAGTCATGAAGTCCATTCTGATGGAAAAATGGGAATATTATTTTCTCTTAAAGTAAACAAAGAATATATTGCATTCATTCCACAGAGGAGCTTGTTTTCATGCATCTTTACCAGGTAGGTAAAGCAGCCTTACTCTGTCTCAACATAAAACGAATGATAAATATTTTGTGCGTCACTGGTATATAAAGACCTTGCTCAACTGTAGAAAACATGAAAGGCCTGAAGGAGTTGTCCCCATAAACAATACAGGTCAGAGGAAAAAGGATTGACTGCTCCATTTGATACACAAGTAAAATTAGACATGAACGGCACTGCATGGCTGAAATGTTTGGGATCTGGAGAAGCTACAAAGATATCAGTCCACAGGACTGGGATCACTGAAGAGGCCCAATAAACTTAAAACAAACTTTTACGAACACAGCTTGTGTCTTTGATGTGGCCTTGGAGTGCAAAGGACACTGAACTTTTGCATGAATCATGCCACTGGAGGCCAGGCCAACAGCAAATGTCTGTGCCAATGTTGCTTAAAGTACAGCTCAGAAAAAAAGACTTCTTAATGAACATGCACATGCAGTTTGCATAATTCATTGCAACATCCTATACAAAGAGCAACAATGACACATGCATAATTTCTAATTACATCATTTACAAGACAGTATTACTGCAATATCTGAAATACTTTAATTACTTAGCCCTCATTATACATTAACAACAGACAATTGGCAGGTTTATAAGGGCCCTACTGTTTATTTTATAACTTAACACAAGCTATAAAATGTTTTTTATTGCTGTTTTGTTGTGGTATTGCCTTTTGAAGAACACTGAGATGGCTTTAAATAGCTGTGAATTTATATCCACTCCTCCTAAAGCTGAACATTTCTGTTGTAATATTTCCAAATACTCTGGCATTGTTCATGGCAAAGCAAAGCATAGGCTATATGCAATGCACCCTGGATGCAATAATCTTCAGAGCAATGTGTTTCTTCCCACTTTTACTAATCTGCATACTTGTAGTTGGCTGATACAGTTGAGGAGGAGTGTAAGTGTGGATTACAATCTTGCACATCTTCCCGTGAGAGGGAGAAGGATGTAAAAACACACTCGTATATGCAGAGAAAAGAACATAAAGACGGAGTATCCCTTCAGCACCACACCACACTCACAAAAATCAGCGTAGCAGAGATTATTTTGAGCCTGAAAACGATCATCATACACACTCTAATCATACAAGTGAGTGGCTTTGCCCCATCTTATCTTAGCCTTTTCTCTGTCCTCTTAAACACACTGAGCTGATCAGACTAAAATGAGACTAATTACCCACTATAGGCTGAGTAAGCATTGTGGACGCAGTCAGTGTGCTTAGGGAAATACTGACAGAAGGTTCATAAATGCAGGCATTAACCATCCAGATTTAAGCCTGTAGCGCTGCTGTGTACAGTCGTTTTCATAGCATTTGCTTAATCTTTAAAGGCTCTGCTGTAAACAATCAGGAACAAACTTATTGAAGGCTTGCCGAATAAAGGGCATTAGGAAATAAAATAAGTTTATTTTGCCCTTGGCTTTGTTTTGGTGTTGACAGTTTGTGTTTTATGAGCGCATGGAGTGCACATGCATGCATTAACATAAGATCTGTGCATTAATCTGAATGGGGTATTTGAGGTAAGAACTGGAGAGCAAAGTGTTCAGTGAGCCATACTGTGAAACTAACCAAAGAAAAAGTCTTTTGCAACATTAAACGAATAATTCAGATCAGAGGAGAAAATACTTTTTCCTCGGAGATAAGAGCCTTAAATGTAGTTTAATCAAAAACCACATTTGCACCATTTTTGGTGAACGCCAAACACAACAAACATGTCATACTAATTGTCAAGCACGGTGCTGAATTGGGGATTTGGGCTATATTTGAAGTCTCTGTGTCAACCATTAATTCTACATGATAAATATATGAGACCATCTGCTGACAGCTAAAGTTAGGACCAAATTGGGTCACATAGCAACAATCTCTGCACCGGAACTGCTGAAAGAAGAAGAATCAGGGAGGTTCAATGGTCGAGCCAAAAACCATTGTGATAAAAAAAGTGGTAAGAAATCAGGACAGCTTTGCAGGAACCCAATGTCCAAACAACAAAGAAAAGTGTATAGACGGAGATTAGAGGCGTCTGTTGGCATTTTATTTTTTTGCAGTGAGAAGCTATGAGTGAGACCACACAGCGCTGGGGTGTGGTGGGAATGACAGTGAGATGTTTACACACTGGAATCTCCAATGCAACCTCTGTGTGAATTCCCCCCCCCCCCCCCCCCCCCCCAAGTCATCCTACTCTCACTAGGTTTTTCTGGTGAGTTTCCACACCCTACAAACATGAACATTAGCTTAAACTAACTAAATGGGTGTTTTTGTCTCGTGTCTCAGTAATGGCTGTGAGATGGATACTCAAAGATGTTCTGCCCATAACAATGCATGTCTTTTTTATCATTTAGATGTATGAATAATTCAAATGTGCGATAGTTGTTAGGGAAAAAGTAAAAAATTCAAAAGCAAATCTTTTTTGTTCTAAGAGGATATAAAGTGTTCATTTCCGTTTTTGTATGTGCTTTTTACAAGGGGAGCTAAAAATAAAGACCACGCTTTTCGAGCAAACTCAGCCATTTCAGGAACTGTAGATTTACAGACGGTCTTAATTTTTCAGCCCTGGAGGCAGTAGCTTGACACATACAAAGACTCCTCTCCTCTCACTCCAACAAATACCCTTTTCCAGTTCTCAAAATTGTCACCCTGACCAAATCTGGAGTTTCAAATAGCTGAAGCGTGCAGGTACTCAGAGCAGGTTGGGGGGCAAGGATAACAAAAATGAGATTAAAGCTCTGAAAAAAGAAAGAAACAGGATGGCAAAATCTCCTGCTGTGGTATTTAGTACCAGTCAGCCACTTTTCCTTGTGTATTTTTTCGGCTATGCTGCTCACTGTATTTAATCCCTGTGGCTTTAGAGGGAGCAGTCCTTGTGATGGGCAAGAAAATAGTTAGGAAAGACTTCGAAAAAGGTGAAGACGAAAAAAAAGAAAAAAAAAAGAAGTGATTTATGAACAATCTTTAAAGTCTTTAGTCACGTGCACTTTTTCTGTCTGAGCCTCTGTTTAGCAGCAGACGCTGGAGAGGAAAAATCAACACAATGTTTCACTGCATAAGGCAAAACACTGTGACCACTGAGCGAGAATGCCTGGTGCACTCACTGTCTTTAATATAGCCTGAGCTGTGTAATTTTACACACAAAATGGAGTGTTTATATTATTCGAAAAATCGTTTTATCCAGTTATGAGCATAACATAAAAAAAAACTTATAGAAAGTCAGCTCCTGACCTTTTCTATCTATGCTGCTTTTTATGTCTTTTCATGTGTTTTTCTTCATTTTTTTTATGCCTTGACAGTTGCTTAGAAACCATACAAATATCTTTAAAAAGAAGATTGTTCTACATCAAATTTTCTAATAGTCCCTTGTGTCTGTAAAAGCCAGATAATTACCCAAACACAGGCTATCCCACTCATTCCTTAATTGGCTGTCACATGGTTGAACAGAAGGGGGGGCAAAGTCATACTTCCAGGCTAGATTTGGTTTCTATTCATGTGTTCACACTTGCAGACTGACACATGTGTTTATAGTACATACTTTACTAAAATCTTGTGCATTACCTCTCCTCGCGGTTCTGGCCAACACACACTCGCCCGCCGTGCCGAGGGGTCGGGTTGCTGCAGGAGCGCTGCCGAACCTGGAAGCCAATGCCGCAGCTGGTGCTGCAGGGAGACCAGGAAGTCCAGGGAGTCCAAGCTCCGTTTCTATGGAGACACACAAAGAAACGTCAGTCTGGGACTTCAACCACTAATGAAAGGGCTAAAATTATATCTCGAGATGAGAATTCTGACAGATCGTACACTTAGTTTTAGATCATAATATGACCTTTTCTGACCATTTAAAACACTTTGCAACATAACTGAAGTTCAGGTTTTGAATTAGATCTATTTAACACTCGAGGATTTACGGTTAAAACCAAGAAATACTTGCATTCAAACCAGCTGCTTAAAAGTGGAATAAGACATCTACATCTGCCAAATAAAGACCAGAGAGTCTAATGTAGCTTTTTTCTCTGGCAATGGAGTGTACATTTTTAAATGTAAAGCAAATATTTATAAATAATTAATCTTGTTCTTGTGTTACTGTAAGTTCAAAGACTTATATTAATCTGTATAATTCAGAATGGTACAATTTTATGCTGACCCCTGTAAGGAGTTGGTAAAATAAGGACATTACATTATACAAAACAGGAGATGAGTCCGTGGTTACCTTGACTGGATTGGTAATATATTGAAAATATGCTTTTTCTTGTTTTTTCTCATCAACATATTTATGGTACATTGAACATTGACTCCTCATGCATATTTAGCCTTCTTCTGCCTTGACACCTAATAAATTCTGGGGCAAGGAATTAATTCAAACAGTTTGGACATATGTTTTAGTTTGTTTCATTGATCTATGTTAGGAGATTTGTGCAGAAATATTCACGGATTATTAACAGACTAAATGAATAAACCTGGAGCAGTTGGCAACTTCCACGCTGATGCCAAGACACTGTTGGCCGCCACACTGGGGGGCAGGATTGTCACAGGCCCGTGTCCGACACAGGCAAGAGCCGGCACTGCCTCCATCATTATGGCTACAGGTGGACCAGCCTGTCCAGGCACCAAATCCTCCGTCGACTGTTACATTACGGACCTGTCAGAGACAAAAAAAAAAAAAAGACCAAAAATAATCATGCCTTTCCTGAGAAACCAGTCATTGCATGAGTGATGCTCTTTGGAATGGGTTGGCCTGTGAGGCGCAGCCCATGGCCACAGAAGGATGACAGCTTGGATCAAATAGAGACAAAAATAACTGCATTACATCTTCTACCGCACAATTATGTCCTGTAAACATGTGGAAGGCACACACAAATTGTTGAAAGAAATGGGAGAAAGGGTGAGAGCGAGCTTCAGACTGTACACAGTCCCGGACTGGAATATGAGGAAACAAAAGTGACATCATAGATGGATATAAGAAGCAAAAGAGAATGATACAGGAAAGCTAAACTACTGCAGAGGAAATAAAGTACGAGTGATGTCCTGTGCACAATAGAACAACAACCCAGAGCCTTTCCAGGGTTGCAGAAACGAGGCGTGTTGCTGCTACATTTCAGTGTGATTTAAAAATGCAAAAACACTTTCACACGCGGAAAAAAGAGAATGATCATCATCTGCTTTGGCAGAAGCAGAATAACGTCTGGCCTCCGCTCTTATTGGTAATTGAACTCTGCCGTGTGCCTTAATGGGGAATGCTTGGCGGAGACAGACAACATCTGCAATGACGGGCAGTCCAGGAAGCAAACAACTCCACAGAGATATCCAATAAAGCAATATTACAATATCATTCAGGCTGAGGGAGTGAATGATCTGGTCGTGGTGTATTATCCATTCAATGAATATTTCATACCTTATATCTTTCATTAAAAATGCACTAAATTAAATAATTATTTTGAACACTGCTGTGAAATTGATCTTTTTTCATGGGAGCTCAGCAGAAAGAACATCATCTGGAAAAATGAAAAGTTTGTATGTTTATGAGTATTATATTTTTCAAATCTTAGATTATTATCAATTATATTATAAACCAAGATGCTTTGCTGTATAGATTGTTTTGTTTTTACTGTCCCATGATAAAGTGTTTCTGGAGAAAGTGGCTCCACACAGAAGGATGTTTTTAAAAAGTGCATGGACACTTTTCGGTGGGCGGTGAAGACAAAGAAAATTATTAAAAAAGTGGCCGTTGATGCTAGTCAGATATTCAAAGGGATTCATGTGAGAAGTGAAATATTACACTAGTCATTCCAAAACCTAGTTCCAGCACGTGATCTGACCTTGCTAAAGAAGTAAAAACATTTTAGAACAGGAGAAACTTCAGTCTTGATTGAACACTTGTTTGACTTTTAGCAGATGAAAATGGCTGATGAAGAACAATAGTCTTCAGAATTGCGCCATGGTCCTTTGTTCTTTCCTGAGAAGTGGTAAAGTGGGTGGATGGCATGTGATGGATGTCAGGAAGTGTTACACACTGCTCTGTTCAGGAGAATTTAGCACTAACTACTTGAAAACTTATAGAATCGTCACAGAGAAGTTCTCAATTTTCTTTAGTGCCACAGCAAAACAAGTTGCTGCTTATTTCCGCACAGGCATGCAACTGTGGTGCCAGATGGTCCTTGTGAATAGGTTGGTAAAGCATATCCTGTCTCTGCCTACACAAAATGACTCAGTGTTCAGAGTCTTGACTGGCCTCCAATTTCAGACTACCACTTTGAGTGAGTGCTCAGCAGAGCCGACTCCCTCCCAGTTTAGCATTTGCAAAGTGTTATTGGACTCATAGGGAGTGAAACTATAACTGTGATAAAAGACTGTTTCATGTTTATCAGTTCATCTCACAATTAATTTTTGCAAAAATACATTTTTTTTGTTGGTCTGGCCTTAGACCTCAGAGTATTTGGCCATTTCATACAGAGAGTCATTATTTTCAGAGCCTCTGAACTGACTGATTGGGTTGCTGTGCTAACAAAAAAACTTTTCTTTAGAAAAGGAATTTGTAAGAGAAATAAAAAATTAACAAACAAATTATGGCAATGTAACATGGTGCAGAGGATTAAGATTGTTGGAGCTACCTGAAATACAATGAGAGCATAGATACTACCTTACCAAATCTTATATGGGAGAAAACAGAGTAAGAATGGTTGCATCTTGTTTGTTTAATCTACATGTATATTTTGGAATTCTAAAATCTTGCACCTGGTTTGTTTAACATTTTGTATGGATAGAAAAAAGGACACACTAAACATAGCAGCAGAGAGGAGACTTAGGTTAAGAGTTACTGGTAAGAATGACTCAGACTATGGCTGTTTATCTGTACTCTATGCTAAACAAAGCACACTCTTCCCCGTCTACCACATCACAGATAAAGATGAAAATGAACAAAAACAAAACAATTACTATAATATATGCACTGACAGCAGCAAAGGTAAGCTCAACATTTTCAATGGCAAGTTCAGCTGAAATACAGAAATCATGTAATATCATCATGTAATCATGTAATACTCCTCCCGCTTTTTATCTCCTGTAGAAAAACACTGACTGCAGGATGAAACGCATAATTCTCCAAATTTCTCTTGCTTTATTACGATTCCTATGAAGCTGCCAAAAAAACACAAAAAACAGAGGCTAACTGAAATTGGGTGGTTCGCTCTTTTCTAAATCTACTACGAATTTTGGAGTAGGGTGAAATAAACGGAGCTAGTTTCGGCAATGAACCAGCAGTCGGATGTGAATGACCTTGGCAGTATTCTTGATACAGGCAGAACAGGCTGTACCCTATAAGTCAAGTTGTTCATTCGCTGTATTTCGTTAACAGGAATATGTTCTCAGGCTTATTTTAGTCAAAGTTGCTTGGGTGTCTTGACATACAGGGTGCTGGTTTCAGAGGAGAAAAGTGATGTGTGAAAGAGAGCAAATATATACTCAACTAAGGATAGATCTATTTATCTCTCATTTCCCAAGTACAAGATGGAAAAGAATTAAGCTGAAAGGCAGTGAACTACTGCGCTTAGATATTCTGGTATTCTGCACATGTACTCTAAAGTCTGATCTGATTTTCACGCAAGAAATCTACTAAATGCCTAGTTTGTTATCTGACTCATCATTTATTCAGTTAATTAAACAATCCATGCAGCAAATATTGTGAGTTCCTACAATGATCTGTATTGAGTGGAATAACAGTGATATGTTTTCATTTCATTGTGATGGAGTTTGGATTTCACAAGTCTACAGTCAGTCCAATGCAAAGCCTGACTATTCCAAAAACTGGATTAGAGCTGAAAATAGCTCAACATGCTTAACTGAACAATGTTATGGAGAACTGAATATCGAGAAAAAATGGCGCCTGTGTTAGATTAGGATATTTGGAAAACAAGTCGCTCTACCAAAGAGTATGTTTTGTAAGGACCGAAAAAAATTAGGTGACCATCATCCATAAGAACTGTTTTGAGTGAGGATGGTTACAACTATCATAGAGGCGAAGGGACTCTGAATGAGCATCATCCAAGCTGGCACGGATCAAGAGTGACTGGAAATGTTTGTTTGCAGTTAATGCTGAACAAACGGATAACACGACATGCAAAATAGGTTCAGAAACTTGTCACCTGACATGCAAAACTGTTGACAGCTTAATTTGCCGCCTTATTTTGTTTAAGTGAATTCCTCACTTTAATCAAGTCTAAAATGTTTTAACCTTTCCTTTTTGCACAGACTGAATGGCAGGTGTCTCTACTCACTGGGCATTTTGTGATACTCTGCTCCCACTGGCTCATTCGGACACTCTCCTCCAGTGTAGTGCATTTCTTCAGCAGCTGATCCCAACCACAGTACGGGTCCCTGGCTCCTACACAGGCTCTGCAAGGCAACAACAGGACTCACTACAGGCAGGATTCTAAGTAACCGTTTATGCATGCCTTCAGACAGCTGTACACCATGGAACAGCATACAATCAAACATCAGGTTGAAGAGAAAGATTAGCTATGAGTGAAATTGTCAGAGGAGAGAGGGCAGAGGAAAGAATGAGAAGAAAGAGAGGATGAGAGGGTTGAGAAGAGAGTTTGAGATTTAGGACAGAGACATAAGTAGAATAATAATTGATAGAGGGAAAATAGAGAAGGGGAGATAACAAAATAAAGAAAACAGACACACATTAGATATCACCCTCATGATAAAACTGTGGATTTATACAATGTGTTGATGGTTTTTTAATTTATCAGCCCAAAAATATTCACTGTGAAGATATTTTCACAAAGATAGCAGCATCTGCCTTTTTTATTGTATCTGCCTCAGACGCTTATTGAGTGCAACAAAAATCCTGATGTTACTCTTTTCATAAAAATGCGTGTCAGCGCTGACAGCCTGGTGACATATCTCTCAACTGCAGGCGTCGACGCCGGCTGACATCCCCCGGGGGAAATGTGAAGTTTTTCTTTTTTTATATATATATATTTTTGATAAAAATGAGTCAAGTGCAGACAACCCGATAGCACTTACGTAAGAAACACGATCACAGTTATCCATATGGATTGGCTCAGAGGTAAGACTTATATTTGTCTGCACGCATAAGGTGGCTGACACAGTGTCTGGGCCCCTAACAAAAAGCAGACAGTTGCAGACAGTATCTGTTAGGACCATGATAGCAGGGGTGACGACAGCAGCATAATATGAGAAGGGAGAAGAAACACGTCAGCACCTGTCCCTCAGGGAGCCTTAAGGGTCTCGCAGATTCTATACTCTATACAATGGTGAGCCGTTCTGCCGAAGACAGACACAGCTCTCTAATATTTCAAACAAGTAAACAAATAAAAGATGTCAGCGGTGTCCCTAAGGCGACCTGCCAGTCTTCCTCGTATAATTTCTTATATCTGTTTAGTTTTTTGTGGCTGACTCCTGTGAGCTCTCATGAGGAGAAGAAAGAATTAAAGTTGCAATGAAGCACTACAGTTACCATGGCACATATCACAGAAGAACAGCTGTAATATGAAGCCTTCTGCCTTCCCTGTAATGCAATAACAGCTCATTGTGCGAGAAAAGAAAGAATGCAGGTGTTACTCTTTTTTCTGTCTGTGATGATGGATGGGATCTAGAACTAGTTGAGAGTTCTCACAACAGGGCCTGTGTCTCTGGTCGTCTTTTCCAATATTTAGTCCTTGATGGAGAGCCTTCCGAACAGACAGAAACTCAATATATCTGATAAACAAATACAGGACTGCATTAGGCAGAAAGTGCAAAGTGTTGTGCTAGGTCAACGATAAGACAGCAATGCAGTCAGGGAGACAGACCGAGGGCAGCCATGGGCACCTCCAGCGGCTCAGACAAAGCTGATTTGGAGGATTTTAAATCTCAGCATAGACCCCCTGACTGGCACAAAAGCCTGGTCCTTTCTGATAAAGAGAATCTTATGAAAGAAGGGGTTTGAAATCTTTGTTGTGGGCGCATTTGCTTTCGACTGTTTCAATTGAGATTAATGGCGTTTATTTTTGCAAGCACTCACTCTCTGTTCTTGTGGTAGCTGCATCTCTTGAGTGGGATCTTAATGACCTGGTCTCTCACACCCACATACAGCTCACTGCGGCTGTGCAGGATGAGCAGGCTTCGAATCGGCTGCCTCTTCCTGGGCGGGAACAACTCGATCTCCTCCAATAGGCAGCTCCCCGCGGACCGGTTGAGAGGAGAAAGTACTTTCCTGATAGTACCGTAATCTGGAGGAGAGATGTGGGAACAGGGGATTTGGTCAAAAAGAGGAAGAAGGGCGAATATCCACTAGAGAAAAGGTAGAGAGCTGGAGGACGGAGCGAAAGAATAGGATGGAAAAGAACAGAGGAGTGTTTGAAAAGGAAGAAAACAACAAATAATTTATGATGGATTTGCAAAAACTACACAAGCCTGCGTGAACCTTGTGTGAACTACACAACAATCGCCTCCAAACAGAAAGGCTATAAAATAAGACTGTCAAAAAGAGACATGGTGCCTAATGTGCCAAGCTTGGCTGGGCCATCAATATGCAGTGCTGTAGCTGCAACCAGGGAATTGGTATGGCACCTGAATGCATGATTTCTGGCCTACTTTTCTTTAAGGGGATCTTCTACGGGATGAAACCACTTTGTAGTTCTGAGAGCAAGGGAGAGGTGTGAAAATTTGTGTCATTGATAGCACACTCTGACCTTTTATTTTATGTAAGGTGGGCCCCAAGAGATGCTGTTAAGAGGTAAATTCTCTTTTGGGAGTGCTAAAACAAACATAATCTATTATACATGCAATCCTCTGGGCAAGGAAAAAGTAATTAGGTGTACAGTGGTGCCATGAAAGGAAGGGTGAAATGCTAAAAGGCAACTTTAAGACAGGGAATGCAAAAGTTAAGTTTAGCTCCAAGCAATATGGACAATAATGCAATTAAAATTTCATGTAACAAGTAGTGTATGGGGCCTTGGATTTGAAACTAATAAATTACTCTACAGTATTGTACCATTGTGGCTCCATTGCTTCAGGTTGATTCTGCTTTCTCATACATTCAAAGTTATGTTAGGTTGCATAGGAATAAGCATAAAGGTTCATTATGAAAACTCAAATAATAGAGCTGATAATTATGGCACCTATCAGAGCCAATGTTAGACATGCTACTGGTTCAGAGAAATAATCCCTAACTGCTCTCAATTTACATATGTTCCATGATGCTGAAGTTAACAGTCAATTCTTTTGATAATAGTAGCAGTATGGTACCAGTAGGCTCATTGTTATGTCTGATAATACTCTGAAAACTGTAATATAAATATTTTGCCGTGGAGGCAATTTTTTTTGTGTATTTCTGTTGCTTATATTGTAAGTATAATTGTAGGAACTGGGTTTTGTTTTCAAAAATGATTTCCAGTTCTGTTTAAAAAAAATAATGGTTTACTTCTGTGTTTTGTGCAGCAGAAAAAAGAACTTCCAACTTCTTTTCTAACTCTGAAAGTACAAACATGCTGCAGATGTGATGTGTGTGTGCAAGTCAGAGAATGTGAACTGAAAGTTGTTTTCGTGCATCTAATCAGTGATGAGTATTATCTGTCTATGGCTGCTGAGTAATTCATAAATTACTGTTTGAACAAGCAGCAGGTCACCAGGTAGGTAATTATTCATGCTTTTTCCCCCACATACTTAAACGTGTAGTTCAGTACTTTGGTGAGTGGAGAATTAAAATCGCTTTCATATTCTGTTCACATTGACTTAAAGTAAAACATCCAGCTGCTGGGCAGAAACAAGTGCTGAATAACAAGTTAGCAGGAATACTCAGCGAGCCCCTTGTTTGTACAAAAGAACCTCACACCTTGACATCATTGGACTCCCGGCTGAGGCCATTAGGTTCTCCACAATAGCTCCAATCAAAAGGGTCCATTTAGGCGTTAATAATATCATGTGATTCGGTTCAGTATTTGCTTTTGCCAATGGCTCTGGCAGTTTTTCAGATGTTTTCATTATCGTCTGGTGAGTGTCTGGGGAACCAACAGTGTGGGCAGCTCTGGTTCAGAGCTACATTGATCACAGCACCATGCAAACAATGAGAGGGGAGATTTGGAGAGAGATGCCAAGCACAGACGCAGCGAACTGGAACAGACTGTTTTTTTGTGTATGTGAGATAGACTGGACAAGGATTGTGTGAGTGCACATATCATGTAGGATATGTTAGATATCTTAAAATATCACTGGCTCTACAAGGGCAGGATCATGTTGACATTTCCCAGTGGGCTTATGGTACATTAGCAGCGTGAAGTGGGTCACTATGTTCAATTCTGTTCAGTGCATCTGTTTATAATCCATATGTCTATGTATCATAAGCCAGACTAACACGAGGTGTCTATGTGGTGTCCTACTGCTACTTTTTTTTACACCCTGCCAAATCTCACATCCCAGATTGTGACACCAGTACCAGAGCATAAGCAGCCGGTGCTATGAAGGCACATTGGACTGGGTGAATCTCTAAGGACGCACATTTTCAATGAATCATTCATCTGTATTATTTTGACACTTGACTGTTGGCTGTTTCATGATGTTTACGATGTATTGGTGAGGGATCACAACGTGTGAATTACGAGCAGCATGTGGAGGACATATGGAGGTAAAGAGTGATCAAACTCATATGAGACACAAAGCTTTGATGTCTACATGATGATAATACAGATGGATTAGTTTTATTCTTCTTTTGTCTTTCATCTGGAGAGTGCACTTCAAGGGTTTCAAGCCCCTGAAGTCAAGTTTTTCTTGGTAACACTCACATTCAAGCCTTTATGAGTAAGAAAAAATATGCAATCTGTGAAAGACTTTGGGTATGTACCCATGACATGTACTCATTATATGTGCAAAAGTAAAGAATCACAGCTAAAAATACAATTGTTTATGCAAGATCCAAGTGCTAGTAGTAGAAAGGTGACTGAAAAAAAGTGTTCTTAGATCTTTTAAGATTGTATGAAACTGCACCAAAACATCTAAATAAACTGTATATTCTGAGAACTCATATGTCCAGAGAAGTGACTTAAATAACAAATGTGTGAAAATACTAACTAGAAAACTAACAATATTGTTGAGAAAGTGTTATGAAGAACCTACCCGTGGCCATATAAATGATGTGAAACAGTGTGTCTTTCCCCTGCACCACATCCACGGCCACGTGAGTGAAGCGCACATTGTCCTCCATGAAGTAGGGCACAGGGACCACGGGCTGGACCACCTCATGCATCAGCAGGAATTTCTGAGCGTCCTGCAGGTTTCTCTTAGTCAGGTTTACATAGGAGCCGGAGTTGATGGTGCCACACTGTGGAGGACGGAAAGTCAGGAAAAATTAAAACTTTGATTTGAGTCCAATGAAAAAAGGCCAAGCACTTAGGGCTAACTTAATAAGCTTTAGTTTTTTTTATTAAAAACAACTACCAGGAATGGAAAGAGATGACAAGGAAGAAGGAAGGGTATATTTAATTAATAAGTCAGTTGATTGCTCTTTGTGATGTTTGCTATCCCATGTCCTTGAGGCTTTGCAGTCTGTATACAGATGCTGATGGGGACTGAAAAAAATCATAAATGGGGGTGCAGGAATGTATTTAATTAGATTTGTTTTCACCTACACGTATATACACACTATATGTACACACACTATATGGACATGCATACACCTAGACAGTTATTCACCCATTCTGTCAATTTAAATTAACCTAACATTTATTTTTCGGGCTGTGGGAAATAGTCTGAGTGGACGAACAAACCCAGGTATGCATAAGGATAACCTGCAAATGTGACACAGAAAGGCACCCGATTAAAAAAAAGTGAAAAGAGACCTTCTTCCTCTGAGGCAATGGTGCTAATCACACCTCCGTGCTCCGGGAAGTTATGATTCTCAGAAATAAAGGCTCATTTAGTCAGAGCTCCATTATTGCTATTAATAGTTCTCCCTCAATGTAAGCAACAAGAAGAAAACAGTTATGAAGATATTTTTCCGGACAGTAAAGACCAGCAATACCAGAGCTTTCTCACACAAACACAAGGATTTCTTTATGACAGATTCAGTATCCTACCATTGCTTTAGTACCGAGGTGGAGCCTGTACCACTGCAGATAATAATGTAAAAACGTCTGATGTTAGACAAATTTCTCTGGTTTCATTTATTAGGAAGAGAGCCATAAAGCAATCTTTTCCTAATGGGAGTATAAAGAAGAAAACTAAATTATCTGAACCCAATTCACCACCAATACCTTGAAAAAAAAAATCAAAGGGTACACAATGCGCCCTTTTATTACATGTTATCACTGCCTGTGACACTGAATTTCATCAGATATATCTAGCAATATAAGTGTTATTTTAATTTATGTATGTCTGACCAATCAGCTTAACAACACCTTATGAATATAGATAATGAAAATCTAAAATTTTGCAGACATTTAGCATGCACAAGAGAAAATGAAAATTATTCCATTAAAGTGGAAATGTTGACTGTCCTATCCACCAAGCTGAGCTGGACATGGTAAAGCACAAAGCCTGAGGCAGTTCAGGGAGAACTGGATGTGTAAAGCTAACCATGTGTGCTTCTCTCAGTAAAACAGGTCCCAGGATGGGCTAAGAATGGCAGATTTAGGCTTTTCTCACAAAAGAATAGGCCTCAGCTAAGACACAGGACACAGAAAACAAAACAAAACAAAATCCTTCCGTGGAAATTAAACCAACCCAAATGGCCAGTGCTGTTTTATAGTATTGTATTGCTCCAGGCAGAGCATGCAGAGCCTCTTATGTGAGATTGAACCTTAGGTGGTGATTAGTTCCTGCTGACTAGCCACAGCCGTAACAACAAGGACACTTTATACAGATCAATCCTTGGCCTTCATTGGACTGACAGATGAGAATCATGAAGAGCTTCCCCAGGCTGGGTAACAGATCAGCTCTTGTGCCACATCAGGTGATGGTAATCTAGAGTCCGAAAAGACCATCAGGTACAATATTGTGCCTGCATGTGGTTCAAAATGAGAGTTCAGCTAAGGGCAACAACAACAAAAAAGTGTTACATGTTTTGCACAGAATGCTAAAAAAAACATGTCCATTTTCTTTGTTTTCATGTTGTGGTTTATTGTTGTATTATGGCCAAATGTGGAAAAATAAAATTTTTCATTGTGTGGTCCAATTTGATTATAATCTTTAGTTAGTTTTATGATCGCAAGTAATCTTGACATATAAGCAGATCAATCTGACACCTTTATTTTTTCCCCCTATTCTTAATCTCTAGCATCCATAACTCTCATCAATCAAACATTGTGTTTTACTGTAGGCAATTATAGAATGGAAGAAAACCTATACAACACAAAGAAGGAATTAGCTGCTAATGCACAATGAACATGACTCAGCCCGAGTAAGCCCAGTTGGATCAATCGGTGCGGTTCAAATAAATGGAAGGATTTTCTCTGCAGACAAACAGGAAATTAAGCTCTCAATCAATGTGTAAAGTGTGTGTCGAGCTATGACATCATAGTCATAATCATCTCCATGTGGTGGCAGTAACCCTATATCTTAATTCGTTTATCTTAGGTTTGCAGACAGTAGATGGACATGTGCCTAGCGACTTTTCAGGCAGCTTTTTTCCTTATAGGTGAATGTTTACGTCTGCGCATGCGTGTGAGCAGAAATGGTCCAAAAAAAGACAGGCCATAAATCTTGGGCTCGTAAATCTAATCCTCCAACATTGACAAATGCTTGATGAAGATGTCACTGAAACCTAGATAAAGTGTGCATCGGTCCAGCAGAGAGGAGCAGCCATTGTGCACGAGCTTAAGTGTAGGGATGGGGACAGAGAGGAGCAACTGATCCTTGTTTATCCTTGAGAAACAAAGCCACATAAACACACTATGGTACACAGAAAACCTCTTTGTGGTGAAGCCATAGCACCATGAGGAGGATGAATCGGTGCTCAGCTTTACCAGAAGAGGAAAGTTTGTTTTCGTGAAGGTAACTTAAATGTCATTCAACCTGCAGATTACATGAATGCAAGATTAGGCTGACTGAGGAGCTGGATGTTACAGATTCATCGTTGTGTATACGTTGTTATCTATTTTACTATGAAAATGTGCATTATTCAGCATGAGCAATTCATCCTTTCTTCAGCATTAACAGTTGTCATTACAAATAATGGAAGTGAATAAGCCTCAAATAGCACACCCATGCAATTGCTGGTTTGACGAAAATACAATCCAGAGCCGGCGACAGGAACCAGCCATGAAAAGGAAGTGTCAATCAACCAGTGGCAGATAGACCTCTGAGGGAATTCAATCCCTCATGTGGATTACTCTTCCTCAATCTGCAAAGCCTGCAACAACTGATGTTCGACTAAAACCCAAGAAACTAAGGTAGCTGGTTTTCCTTATGACTTCAAGAAAGGAATTCAAACCTAAAACACCACCTGTGCAACACAAGGCTATTTTATTAGGAAGGACAACACTTAATATATCAAAGCTTTATGAGCTCTCCAAGTGATCAATGAACCATTGTAAAACATAGTGTAATTCATAAAGATGAGTAATAATGTGCGTTTTCATGAGCACACCTCACTGCTTGAAAATTGAAAGAAATTAATATGACTGAAGAGATTTCCAGAACTCCAAGGTGAGCCGATAGTGCAAATTATTTATCAGTGTGCACATGTAGCATGCCCATAACATACTTACATTTCCTCACATGCACCTGGCTGCACATAAATGATTATAGATTTGGCAGTCTATTGATTCGAAATTACCTTTAGCATGAATAAACTCTCATTAAAGTGTTGAACTTTAAGTTAAACATTTTATGAACATCATGTTTCTAAACCCAGCTGCTGGCAGCATCGTAATTAGGGATGGAAATGCTGTCTTTGGTCTGATGTACTGATCCAGATTGGATCTTTTCTGATATGGATTTATCCCAGAGGATGAATTTCACTCACCACATTTCCAGTTAGCATGAATTGCAATAACCTTTCGAAAAAATCTTGCTATAAGAAAGGTTTGATCTAAAATCAGACACTGCTAAACCAAGACAGCTAACACGTTCAACATTAGACATGCTTAAGACTAACATGTTGTCAACCGACAACATGCTTTAGTAATGTAATAAGAAGCATAGATAACGAGCGTTTCAGTGACATTACCTGGAAGTTTGGGTTGGGGTTGGGGTAGGGCAGCCAGGCAGACCGAGAATTTTCCTGGAACTTGAAGGGGCCATTGAAAACCTGTGATATGGCAGTGAGATTGAAGGCACACACTGCGGAGGCAGCAATGCTGTTTCTGAGTGTCATGAACAGAAAAACGCATGGACGGGGACAAGGAGGGAAAGATGAGGGAGAAAGAGAAGTATTAGAGGATCAATTAAAAATGAATTATGACAGCACAAACAGGAAACTGTTCAGATATCCTTGTAAAGGCGACCTCTATGTATTTGCCTCTGGCTAATACACGCGCTGGACTAAGTGATGGTCATTACCGAATTATAAATCCAGCAATGAGACAATTAAGGTGCTATGCTTGTCTGATTAACTGTATAGATCTCAGACCTGAAATACAGCTTTGACTTTTTAAGTTGTCAGTTTCAACAAGTGCCGGTCGCTTCCCTTTGCAGAGAGGGTAAAGAATGAGTGCATTAACTCTCAACTCAAACTGCATGACTTGGGCATAGTGAATTATAATCGAGTGCAGCTGTTCATTAAACTCTGTGCCTGCAGGGGGAAATGTTTCCAATACCCTTCAAAAGGTTTCTTTTTCAGCAATGTGAAGGCATTGACCATAAAGAATTGATTACTCAGCTTTAATAATGCTCGACGTGTGCAAGCGGGTGTGTTTGTGTGTATGCAAAAGACAAAAAAAAGTAGAAGAGGCAAAAAATGGAAAGCTCTCACAACATGATACCATTTACATATAGATGCTGTGAAAAGTAATATCTATCTATCTATCTATCTATCTATCTATCTATCTATCTATCTATCTATACATGCATATACATACAACATATTTATTTGTCAACATATTTATATTGACATATATTGACTGTTGAAGCTAATATTGGTTTAACTCACTACCTTACTAGACAATGGATGAGTTTCTGAGTAACATCCTCACAGAGGTGTGTGCACATCTACATGGCAAAGAGGAGTGCTGAGTGATCGTCTCTATTTGTTTGGCAGAGCCGAGCTCCTTGGCAGCGATGAAAAGGCAATTAGCAGAATGAAAATGTAAGACAAGACGACCGAAAAATGTTTTCGCTATTCAAAGAGCTGAACAACCCCTTTGCCAAGAGCAAAGGAAGATTGTGGACCCAGGCCAGCAAAAGGGCAGCCTGGTTTTAGCAGGTTCCATCAAAGTCTCTGAAGTGTACCCTTTGTATCTCAAAATGTAAACTTCTGATCCTGTGTGATAAAACCTAATCTGTCTCAGCTACAAAGAAACAAATAAGTTTGATAGAAACTGTATTATGAACATGTTTGATTGTCAACAGAGATAAACCAACAGGACCATGCCTACTGCTATTGTGAAAATAGAATGGAGGAGAAACAAATTAAATGTAAAAAATCTCTTAAGATCATTCAGTAATATTGTTCCATAGTTTACATCAAAACTATGAACTATTTAAGGATATTTTAGCATAATTGTATTCACATTGTTAATTAGAATCTTCCTAGGTGCAACAAAACTAAATTTCCAGAGGCATTTGTCATTTAACAGCTTTAAAGAAATAATACAATTTTACCAATTTTGAAGCAGAAACCAATTTCCAAAAACCTTGCCATTTGTAAATGATGTCTGGTTACTTGGCAACAAGTTTTACACTGAAATTGATACTGTATCTGGCCTCAAATGAACCAAACGAAAGGCACCGGGGCAAAGCTGACGGACTGATGGGACAAGATCTGATGGGACATTTCATAAAATCTCTTAATACTTACACATTGGTTGTAAAGATGCCATAGAGCAGCTCCAGCTCGGGTAAGTAGAACGTGCCCTGCAATTCATTGTAATTGAAGGGGATCTCCCCTGGTCTGGAGCAGTTAAGTCTGGCCTTCATGAAGGTGGTCCACGTGTCCTCCAGAAGGAAGCGGCCTCCGATGTCGTTTTTACAGACGCGGCCGGCACGGGAGAACACCGTCCTGCCACAGTCGTGCTCCACCGCGTTCTCCCGGAAGAAGAAGTAGGTGAAGTTCCCAATATCATACGAGGAGACAAAATTTGGCTCTGTCGAAAAGGAGATAGAAGGAGAGTAAGAGAATAAATGGAGGGGAGGAGAAAAAAAGCTCAGAGGTGAAAAAAAAAAATCCAGAACGAGAGAAAAATTGGAGAAAAACCCAACAGAGACAAATGAAGTGCGAAGACATGAAGAAAAATTCTGTCAAAAAAGCATTTAAGGATATGGGGAGAGGAAGAGAGGGAGAGCGAGTGGGTCCTGTAAGCGTTATGACTGATTGACTTCAGGTGCGTGTGAGTGTATTGCCTGCACTACAGCAGGTGATCAGGATTAATAACTACAGCCTGTGTTATTAATGGCATTGTGTTGTAATAAGAAAACCCATTTTTCACTCCCGCAACCTAAAGGTTAGTAAGAGAAATGACCAAAACAGGTGTAGTTTAATAGCTCTCACCCTATCTGAAACAGGCGACCTCCTCGGCACTGTCACAGCTGCGACGTTTATCTTTATGTATGACATTATTGGATCTAAACAGCGCACTTTATTCTTGCTGACACTGATTTAATTCAGCTTTAAATGAAAGTCTACTACCCTCGCCTCAGCCTTGCTCTGCACCTGCGATGGCTAGTGCATGAGGAGATGGGGTGGGGCGACAAAAGGAAAAATCAATTCCCCATAAAATTAGTTATTAAACCCCTCTCCCTGAAGGTGGCTGTCCAGCAATGTATGTGGTTGTTTTGAATTTATTTTTTCAATTTAACTTAAATGTGAATCAGATAAAAGTCACTTGCTGACAAGATACGGATTGACCGGGGTTTCAGTAGGCCGGACGCCTTAAGATTTCTGAAGGTCTTCAATCTGCACGGAGATGGCTTTGAGCTTCATGGGAAAAAGACATTGATTTCTGAAGAGTTCACAGTTAAGTGCTCCTCCTTACAGAAATGGCAAGCATTCATTTATTTACTTCACAAAGATTTCTTGTTGCCTTGGAGCATCTAAAATGGTTGTTTTTTTACTGACAAAAAGGATCTGAACGGTAAAGAATGGGGAATCTTCTATTTTAATATTTGCAGTGCTGCGTGGCAACACCGATCATTTGCAAAGGAGTGCAATCCTTCAAAGGAGACAGTTCCCAAATCCCATGTGAGACAGGCATCTGCTATGCTCAAGTATCCCTGAGAAAAAGTGAATAGATAATTCCCGCCAGACGCAGTTCTGATGTTCACAGCTGGGAAGAAAGAATTTAAGAAGAAAACTCTTCAACTTAGAACGATTCATCAACTTTTTCTGGAGCCTTGCAGCTCATTATGAAGATGAGGTATACGATCTGTCTGGACTTTGACGGCTTCCTACCATTGAGCCACTTGGAGTTGTACTGGGCAGTGCGTAGTGGCGGCATGCCGCCCAGGCTGCGATAGATGGCGGGGTCTCTCCCCGAAAAATCCATGGCAGTGGCAGCATAAAGCTCCCCGCTCGACGTGATGAGAGCCGTGGAGTTGTGGAGGGGGTTGTAGGGACACCGAGCCATTCCACTGATCTGATCGTGGATTTCTGTCAGGTTAGTCAGCTGCAATGGAGAGAAACGAGAAGATGAAGCGGAGCTTGTCTGCAATCAGGAACTGCTCAGGTAGGTACCGAAGGGAAAAGGACATATACTAAAAGAACAAAACAAGACGTGAGTAAAATTCACTTTGTGCTTATCTATGGAGAGTTTGCTGTTAACGCCATACAGAAACATAGGGCAGTATATCAAAAGGCAGCATCGAAATGCAAAGTGTAGAAATCTGCCAATGCTGTTGCTTGTTTCTGCCTCTATGCTAATGCCAAGTTACAAACAACAAAAACCTATTCATTTTATTTGTTTTGCTTTGTCTATATCTTCTGACAATCACACAAAGACTATATGAGCAAAACCCTAAGGACCAGGAAACATAACAAGAGAACACATTTAGAATAATTGGTAACATAAAACAGATGCTGCCAGTCTAATGTTAAGGAACCACCTGGTCGAAGTAAAAGAGTTCGCCCTAGCTGTGGTGTGTAATTGGTTAGGTTTTTGAAGATTCAACAGGACAAACAGCTGGTCTAAGACTATAATAATAAAACAAGACATCTTTGAGCTGGAGTTTTGGGCTCAAAAGATGGTCTGAGTCTTGTGTTGCATACTGCCTTTGAAAATAGAGCCAAATCCAACCCCCTGCTTTTTAAAAATACTTCAGCTTGACTTGGCTTTGCCCTGACACACTGCACTGGTTCCTACTTTTTTAAAAGTACAGGCTATAGCTGAGTGACTCATCCCAGAACACAACGAGAAAAGATATAATTATATTTTATGGTGCAAAAGTAAACAGCATATAGGGATTAGCTCAGGGCTTGTTTTCATCTATGTTCGGAGGATAATATTACAAAGGAAAAGGACTGCACATATTCAGGTATGGAAGTGCATAAATAATCATTAAATTGATTCTATATGCAGTTATTTTACTATTAATCAGTCAAATGACAGATTTCCAACATTACACTCAAAGCAAAATCCCAAGCTATCCTCTTTTTTCCCCATGGTTTAACTAATCTGCAGATTCCATCCCTTATTCCACAGGGTTGTGCACTGGAAGACTTTTTCAGACTATTTTCTAAAGCCTGTCAATATGGATCAAAGATTCTGTGAACTCCTGCCACCTCCCTACCACCTGACACGACACAAGAGAACTGTCCCATCTGAGCACTCCCAGCCTAAGATCACAGCTGGGTATTGACAGGACTCACACTGCTGGCCAGAGCGGTCCTTTTAGGTCATTTGGGTCATTTAGAAAAAAAAAGAAGATAAGTGATAAATCGGCTGCAATGCACCAGCTACATTTTGAAGAAGGGAGAAAGTAGTCTCTGTAACTGGCTCAGCAGCTGCATGAGTAAACGCTGAAGTGACTTTACATGTCTCTTTTTCAGAGGGAGTCTTGTCATTTAGAGATGCTGCAAACAAAGCCCATTGGATGCTATACGTTGTGCTACTGAGCTGAACTTTTAACTGCCCAATTAGGGCAGAAAAAGAAGCCTTACACACTGTGATTTGAGATGTGCTAATAGACAGGGATGTCAATATTCCACAATGGGTGCCAGGTAAGTGACACATCTTAATAGCCGTCTGTCAAATCAGTGTGAACCAAACGTCATCCATAACTACTTTGTCTAAGACTATCTCATCTACTTGTAAATGAAAAGATAATAAAAACGACATAATTCACAATAGATGGTTTCCATTTACTAGTTTTTTTCAATTAAATAAATAATATCTAAATATACTTATGAAAGACAGAGAATTTGACAGAATATACTGCAAACAGTTCTAGAAGAGTCTGCTTTTGACTATTTTGCTATCACTATTAATGAGCAACAAGTGAGGGTGCAGGATTTGCTATAAAAGGAACCTAGTCCTTCAAAGCGGCAATGGGTTTTCCCTCACAATCTATATTCACCAGTGCGATCCAATAAATGTACCTATTTTGCAAAAGGAGGAAGCCATATATTAGAAGTGTTGCTGAGTTCTCTGGTTATAAGCTCATCTCAGATGGACAGAAAGAAAGAAGGCAAGCATTCTCTTTAAATTTGATCAAACAAATTTGAGGTACCATTTATAGACGAGTGTATATTAGAAATCTGGACACATATGCAACCATCAAGAGGGTGACAATGCCAGACCTCATTCTGAGTGCCTGAAACACAACGGATCATAGGCCCAGAGTGTGTGTACTTTACTGTTCTCCCATCATATCCTGTACTGTGTCTATATTTGAAACATGGAGCGTCATGTGGAGTCTAATTGGAACACAAATCCCTCTTGAAAAACAGCAACCACTAATATGCTCAATTTAGAAACAATAAAAAATGAATTACAAAGGTAAGCTTTTGTTTTTGAAAGTCACTGTATATTTATTTAAACATGTGTCCGTTACAGGTTCAAATGTTACAGAAGGAATGTTTTACAGTTCCCAATTTATCTGGGAATGAGATCAGTAATTATTAAGACTAGAGTTTGTCCAAGTGAAGAGATGCCGTCTTAAGTCTTCAGACTCTAATAGAATACAAGAAAATCCCCAGTGTAAGGACAGCCAGTCCACCTTCAAATGGTTAACAGCAGTTTAATCAAGAGCATCTGAGGCTTATCAAATGATTAATATTCTGCTCATCCTCTGGTCGTCAACACAGCTGATAGTAAATCTGACTGAGCCTAATTCCATTGCTGTTGCTGCTCCCAACCCCTGTTTCACATTAACGAACATTCAGGGTGTAAATATGACAGCGGCCGATGAAATACTGCTATAATAATGTCATGACATTTCAACTATATGTATTTTCACAGAGGTAAACAGTCTTTATGAGCTGCTGACCTTTAGATGCAGTGCTTTTAGCAAAAAAACAAACCAAAAAAACGACAAATGTCATCCTACTGGTAAACTCCGTCATCGTCCTCTGAAAATCCAACAGAGAACACAGAAATGTAGATGTTTGAAGTGGACCCTACACTGCTCTGAGGTAAATCATACACTGACATTTTAAGCGTTTCTCTATTCTTAACTTCTGTGGGCATCTGTCCTCAGCAATAGGCTATTAGGCACTTCAGTTGCCAGAAAATGTGGATATTATCACAATGCCAGCAAGCTGTAAACCAGCAGTTAATAGGCACTATGTCAAGAGCCTGCTGCAACACAAGAGTAATTCAAACTGAGAAGTCTAACGACCAAAAATCCTTTAAAAAAGAGGCATTAAGAGCTACGGGGAATTTGAACAAGTGGGATGGAGGGAAGAAGTCAAAATGTTGTTTCACCAGATTTGCATTTAAAGGACTTTATGTGATAAAATGTAAAAAACTGTAGCAAATATTTTAGCAAACCATAGGAAGTGCTTTTTCTGGCATGCCAGAGTCAGTACCACGTGGGACATTGAGATGAATATTTTGATTGTAATATCCAATAAGTTTTACATAAAAATATTTTGGGAAATTCATGCATTTTATGATTCAGTGGCAAAATAAGGGAAGAAATACCGGGAATCTTGAGGCACAAGTCACCTTGATGAAATTGGCCTTCCTTTTGATATTGTTGGCTCAATTCAACCAATCAAGCCTTTCAAAACACATTGTTGATACAAAAGGATGAAAATAAGTGCTGTCCATTTCTATACAACACTGCAACTAGGAAGTGACTGTTGATGAACTGCAACAACAAAGAAAAAGTTGCAGTCTAAAGAACATCCAAAGGAGCTTAAAAGCTGAAATAGTTGTACCAAATTATCTGTAATGGAAAAATCTCCATCTATAATAAGATAAAAAAACAGAAACACATTTCTATTTGAGGTAGGAATGAGCTTGCTTTGAAAAAGGCAGTAAATTCCCACTCGTACCGTTCGGTTGGTGCAGATGGGGGTGAAGGCGTTGGTTCCACAGGTAAACAGCCTGTTCCCATTCACCAGCAGCACCCTAATGTAGTTCTGGCACTCCTCCTGTGGCAAAACACACCAGAAAACACACAATATGCTTTTAGCATGTAAGAGCACTGCCATCATCTATCCACTGACGAAGTGCAGCATTAGGTAGAGGACCCAAATTACACTTTATACCCATAAATGAGAAAAACACCTGGAGCTTTGGGAAGGCTGCTCCAAAACGTGGCCAAACCAGACAGAGTCAAATCAAGGCTAATGCCCACATGGCCTGGCCATGTCACATCTTAATTCAACGGGGACCACATTTGGAGAGCGATCTCAGAAAGGCAGAGACCAGATAAAAGTATCACGTGTGGGAGAAAAAGCACAAAAGATTGGTTGAGAAAATTGCCTCGGCTTTGTTGACTGGACAGAAAGTGAAATGAAAGTGTTGCCTCTCATTCATTTCGTTCAATCATGTTTCTTTTTGGCTTGCTACCCAAAATTAATCAATTCAAACCACTTTACTCCAAATTAGGATGAAGTACGTGCTTACCACTCGATTCTTTTACTCTCCCCCTCCTCTGAGGATTTTGGCCGGGGTGTCTAGAAAAACACTCTCTTTGGAGCTCTCGACAAATCGAGGGGACTGACGGGGCGCGGGACTGATTGAATGATAGATTGGCACAGAGTATCATGAACTCTTAACATAAAGGTCAAACTTAGATTGAGGCTCGCCAGGGGTTTCCATCAGCAAAAGTGATTCTGTTGTAAATGTAACTGTATTAAGTGTTCCTGTCAGAGAGCAGCACTTGTTTTGTTGTAGGAAGACGTGATAAACTTGTAGGGTCCCCCTCAATCTAAATAGGGCCGTGGCTGGGTTGGTTAGGGGCCTCTCGTAGAAATTTAAAACCCCGTAAATCTGCTGTTGTCTGAGCCGTGTGAAGAGCCCGGGGCAGCCCTTCCTCTCCTTTTCCCCTCTCTTCAGGGTCTGATTTAGAGGTGGAGGTTGTGGTAGCAAAGATGGTGGGGCTGTAAACCCCCCCCCCCCGCCCACCCCCAGCAAGTTGAAGGTTGACTCGTAAAAAAAAAACAGCTTGCTTCCTGGTGCTGAGCATAGACTGAGTCCATGTGTTTATATGTGTTCAAAACAGAGAGTGTGAGGATGAGTAGCCACAGTTGCAAGCACGTCCCGTTTTGTGTTTGGAGCTTGTCATGCGTTGAATACTTACATATGGATGTGTGGGCATTGGTGTGGGAGCAGGTTGTGACAGTGTCTGCAAAATTGAATTCTTCTCTAGAGTTTTTTCTCAAAGATTAATAGGGGAATGTTTAATATTTTTTTGTTCCAGCCTCAAAGTCTTGTCTTGTTTATGAAAACTTCCTGACAAACGTTCCACGTCTGCACTGTAATACACAGGCTGCTCTGCTTGGCTCCCACATTATAGAAAAAAAAACAGAGGCTGCAATCACGTCCTGTCAAGTCAATTTAACTCTCCTTTCTTCTGCCAGTTAAAATAAATCAAATACACAAGAGAGGAGCGGATGCGTATATTAGAAAAAAAAATCCAATCACTTGTAAATTCACTCAAAGCACAGGGATGGTATCTGTGTAATAGCTTAAGCGATAGTATATTGCTGCGCATTGAGCTAGGTAATAAACCATCGAAAGCCCTGTCAGCTACTGGAGAAAGAAGTCTTTTAATGCTATTCTTAGTGTACATCACAGGAGCTGTTCCTCAGAAGGGAACATTGAGCAAAACAATTGTGCTCCGCCAGACTGCAGTGACTCACGAGAACCCGGGTAGCTTTGGTCTGTAATTCACTACGGCTATCATGTGCTGGCCAGCCTGTGCATGCCTATTATGGGTCCCTAACCACTTTTCACAGGAGGAAAAATACACAGCGGCATGCAGACACATAGGGATCAGGGCTGGGCAGTTCACCTACAAGTCATGTTCATCTTAAAACCAACTGTTTTGTAGACAAAAGTATGCCCACTCACCACACACAAAAATATTCCCTGCAAAGAAAGACACTTCAAAAACAATAGGAACTCCCTTTGAGGAAGGTCTATAAATAAGGGTTAAAGTGTGGTTGGGAGCGTTTTACTTCAAAATAAGTTAATCTACATCCATTTTAAGGTCACAAATCTGGAATTCCCAGGGTGTTTATAGGTTAAGACAGCCTAAAAGAGTCCCCATCTTGCTTTTAAACCCCTCTATGTTACAGCTTATATACTTTGATTTTCCTGTGCCATTTTGATGGAACATACTGTTTGAAGTGGATCAATGTAACTTTAAAAAAAAAAAAAAGATCTCTGATTTCTGTCTTGAGTGAACATACTTTTAAAAAAAGAAATTATGTTATTCAGCTTTGATGTGCTGCTGGGAAATTCTAGCACCGGGAGCTTTCAGTTCCACTTACACACCTTTTATTAATGTGTTATTTTAGTAAATTACCAAACCCCCAGAAGAATGCTGATTGATCATGGCGGGGGGGGGGTTGGAGCTTTGCCCTTGAGAAAATTGCTTAGTAGTAATGGAAGTTTGTACTCCCGTTTGTAATTGTAAAAATGGTTTTAAGACATCATGGGGAATTCCATCACTTTCGCATATTTCTTTAAAGTTTGGAGTTGTTCCTTATGAAAAACAAGAAAGCAGGCCGCCTTATGTCGCGCTTACTTCTATCATTTAGTTAGTAGTGCTAACTTCTTTCACTTAATACTGCATGACTCCTGGTCTGAGACCAAGTTAGGAAATTTGAATATTTTGGGGCAAAGCTAACGTAACTGGACACTCAAAATGTACAAAGCTGAAACAAAATACAAAGTTAGGAACACATATATAACTATGATAGAGCTTTTGTCTCTAACACACCTCTGCATTGGTAGACTGTTAGAGTAGCCCTGTGGCTAAATTCATCGATACCACGTTGAGTTTAAAGTCAAAACAGCATAAAGCATGAAGTTCACATCTTACAGATGGAAGCTGTTTTTTCAAATGTAGTGCAGCTCCTAAAACATATTTTTGTTAACATTCTGGGCGTCTAGTGAAGCAATATAACAGTGCGTTGATGCATCACTTAAACTCACCTCAGATTTTCCCCGGCTGAAGCAGGCTCCCTTGGTGAACTCGTCACAGTGCCACTCTGCCTCCTGCAGAGACAGAGAGAAGCAATGTGAGGCTCCAGATAAACCATCAACAAGAAGGCTATGTCACCATGAAAAACTTTGAAAACATCTCAGAGAGCCTAAACAAAACAATATGGAGGCTACGTTTTTGGAAAAAAAAACTTTTTTAAAGAGGAATTCATTGTCTGGCTACTAAGTAGGCGACGTGAATAGCTCAGATTGCATACAAAAATAAAACAAACAAAAAACCAACCAACTGAAAATATAACGGCATTCAGAAATTGACTTGGGAGAAAAGTGCATGAACTTGTTTGAAAAAGAAGCAAATGTCAAAGAGATTTGACATTTTTACACATTTACTGTAATCTCAAACTAAATGCCCTGATCCATCCATGTGGACACAAGTTATAAGCTTGTTAAACACAAGCACAGAATTCAATTAGGGCCCATACTGAACAGAGACCTCAAGAAATGATAGGCAAGAGTGTGCAGAGGGTGATGTCAGTTTGATTTATGTGGGAGGTAAAAGAGGAATCTTGAGACATAACACGCTGATCCCTTGAGTGGGATGTCAATGTGATTTACATTTTAGGAAGAAACAGGGGGGCTTGTTTTTACAAATTAAAACGGCAGAGAAAAAAAAGGGGAAGATAAAAGCTTGACTTGTCTCCCCCCAAAGGTGACGGCGCACCCTGGTGCTGTCTCTACTTTTTAATTTGATCGCAACCCCTAAGTAAAAGGGTTCTTATCATTGATAAAAATTCCCAATTCATTTAATGAGAACTGACCTTGGAACAGAACCGGCCCACTAAGCCACTTACCTTTGTGACAGGTAAATCAGTCCCTCAGCCACCAGCCCGGGATGACTGGCAGAAGGATTACTGAACAAAAAAATGCTGGTGCCGCAATATTAAACTCTGGGCACGAAAAATCATAAAAAGTAGGAACTGTCACATTTTTTTTTTATATAGGTTACGGTGCATTTCAACTTTGGTGATTAATATTGCTAACTGACATGGAATATTGAAGCAGAGTTAAGGATACATTGAAATTAATTTCCTCTTCCATTTTCCCTTTGAGAGTGCCGAAAATCTTTACATCATGTTCTATGACAGGCCTTTTTCTTTCTGCCTCATTGCCCCATGGGAGGTATAGGGTCACCCACATGTATACACTCACCACTGCATGCAAGCCACTGACAGCAAAGCCAGCTTAGAGAGGGGAAAGAGCTCAGGGTGCGTGGTACTATTCAGGCAGGATAAGATATGGAGCATTAACAGAAGCTGGCTTCGCTCTTTTTTCCTCAGTGTGAATTCAGTTTGTATTCCATGCCAAAGCTAGCTGTTCTGGCACCACACAGACACCAACCACATATATCAGCACAAGCAGCTCAGGCTGCACACACTGCACCACAACTGGCCCCAGCTGAATTCAATGTGGGCGCTCAAAGTGATTTGGCTAAACCTGTTAAGGGCCTGAAACCCCAGTCACTCATGCTCTGTGTAAAACTAAATCATAATTACCACTTAAAATCACATTAATGGGGGAAAGTGGCTTATTTTATCATTATGAGCATACTCGTCATCGCTCATCATAGTCAGAGCTATTTTCTGAGTGCTACATATTCTCTTTGTGTCTTTAAGAAATCCGCTTTCTGGTTTAAAGTCTTTTAAATTGAGGATATGCTGCTGTTATTGACCTCTAAAAGTCGCCAGAGTTACAGTGATCCACAGAACAGAATAACAGCTACTCAGTGGCTGATATAACTTAGGCTCATTGCCTTGTTATTGTTTTGTCACTGTGTGCCTAACATGAGGTTGATTTGAAATAAAATACGTCTATAATGTGTTGTTGTTGAGATGTAATAATTCACATTGTCAGAGGGAGATGCTCCCCATTCTTATTTTTGGTGCCTCTCTGACCTAGAGGCATACAGAGAAGGGAAACGGAGGATGATAAAGAATAATAGCATGGGGAGAGTTATACCAGTTACAGAATTACAATGGTAAATGAGTTGAAAGATTTCCCTATTTCCCTAAAGTATTATATTTTAAATGTATAGCATGCTGAAGGTGATACACCCCTCATTTTCAAGACAAATACCCTTTAAAACCAGCACAGTAAACCCAAACATTTCCAGGAAAGAGGGAGAGATGCATTAACTACAATCTTTAAAAACAAGTAACATATAATCCAACACTTGCACTGCCTGATCCATGATGTTAGCCTCAGTAGTCAACTGGTAAATTTGTAAATTGGTGTTCATTGTAATATTGTAATATTTTAATAATCATATTATTATATTTCAATATAAATTGTAAATGACCTCTATTCATTTTGTTGCATTCTAAGGGACCTTTATTTATGTCTCCACTGTGCTTGTGCTTCCCCTTTTTCTGCTGGGTAAATTTCCCCCACTGTGGGATCAATAAAGTATTCTATTCTATTCCATCATTGGAACAGTTGCAGCCATTTTCAAGAAAAAGAAAAAAGAATGCTGTTCACACCAGTTTGAAAGGTAGCATAATCAAAAGGTGACAGGCAAGAAATAGCCTTCTAAAAAGGCTAATTACTGACATTTATGGTTCATGGCAATCTCATAGATATAGATAAAAGTCCAATCCAATGAATGGTTACTTTCACTTACAAGTGGTAACAATAAGAGGCAAACAGCTGTATTGCTGATATTTGTCTGCCTCTGGCTTCCAAACATTTATGGTTTTAGCAGTTTCTTTCCAAAAGAATAAACTTTTTCAAGCTTATGAAATAAATAATTTAAAGAATGAATGCACACTTAAAGAAATACATTTTCCCTGACAAAGTAAAAACAAATGACAACTTCTTGGCTTGTTTACATGAAACCAAGGTTACATCACACGCCGGCTCATCCTCCAAAGCTTTGAGTGCAGCTTAAACATGGATTAATATTTGTCTCAAACTTTGTACTGAGTTACAGTTATTTCCACAGCAAGGTAACCAAATAACAATTCTAAATGACATAACAATGTATCTCAGTCTGTTTTTCAAAGATTAACATTGACCTTTGGACTGTGAGGCATTTTTAGTAGCCACACTCAGTTTAATATGATCTGTGCAGCAATCTGGCCCAAAAAGGCCCATTGGTCTATAAAAAAAATCAATAGAACTTTTATGTCTATATTAAATTTGACACATATTGAATTTGACCTATCCAGACCAACTGTATGTGCATTTTTGTGCAAAAGGTAATTATGTCATATCCTACATAGAGTCAATAGGGATAAATACTGTATGCTAACCCTTCATGCCCTGTTTGGGAACTTGAGAGCCAAGAGCTTAGAACAATTTATATGGAGATCAATATAACACATAATTTCTTTTTGTTGACACATCCATGGTGATAAACTCTTTTTGGGTGATACTTTTTTTGCCTGTTTTCTCTCTTGGCTGACGAGTGTTTGCTTAAAGCCTTGTTTGACTGCTCCTGTCTGTAAATTCATTTGGTTTTCTTTAAGTAATACTTCCTGTGACCTTCCAACATCTCAGCCAGTACTTGGTAGACAGAGTACTGTTATCGTAAAATGACACTCTTGCCACAACTCTGAGGCCAAGTACTGCATTACACAATCATAATCCCTTGAGAAAGAACGCATTCAATGGAGAAAGTGAAGCCTAAAGGAATTTGACACAATCATTTGTTGTTTCAGGAAAGACGATGCAAATATATGTAATGTTCCATGGGTGTGCTCCCTCTGTTACGCCCCTCAATGGGTACAGTGCTCAGAGATGAGCCATTGTGCTCTAACCTCTCCTCAACACTCACACTGAGGGGCCATTGTCACAACAGGACGGGTGCAGGAGAGATGGACGGAGAGTGGGCAAGGGGGGAGATGAGCAGAAACAGAAGAAGGACAAATAAAAAAGGAAAATAAGGGACAAACAGACAGGAAAAAAATCTAGGAGAAGAAGGAGTTCGACTTAGGAGTCAGCCAGAACAAGAGAGACTGTGTGGGCAGAGTGGAGTGAGATGGAGGAGGCAGTGAGCAGCTGAATTCCAAAACAGCAGTTTCCAGACATGATATTGAATATATTTTGCATAAATAGGGTCTACAGAATATGTTCGGGGCTGACAGCTGTCAGGCTTTGTGGCGGGCTGTTGAGAGTAAGAACTGGACATATAGGATGAATCTAATAAGTCATGTGAGAGGCTAATATTACCCTCTGATGTCCCTGCGTAATATTTACAATGCACACTCATGTAAGCTTTACACATGAAATTGATCTTGATGTGCCGTTTCACCAACTGAATAGGTCTTCCTCGCCACACGTATCGTAGCACCTTCCAAAGGTAAGTATAGTATAAAAGTGACTCCCAGCTTTGTCTGAATTACATGCATAACACAACAAAACTGACATAACATTTCTCTTTAAGATACCATCATCTCAATGACATTATGGAATATGCTGGCCTCTGTATTTCCAATTCCAATCATGCCTTTAATTCTATGCATTTTAATGACCGAGTTAGCGCGCTATTAATTCAATTAGAAATGCTTCCACAGTTATCGAAGACAGTCTCTGTTTGTCTCTGATAAGTGGGGCTAATTGTCCAGCTGACGAGGCTTAATTGCGAAAGACATACCCCCTGAAATACAAGATGCAAATATAAAAGGAGCCTATTGTTCTTTGGAGTCCCCTTTCTCTCTTAATGGTAAGACAATATACTGAGAAGGTATGAAAAATGAAGGCACAATATACACCTCAGTACCATACAGTGTGCGTTGCCAAGGGGGGACAGTTATGGATAGTGTTTTCATGTACCAGTGAAAGAGGACAGAGAGAGGCTAGAGTGAATTTCCACTACTTTCCCTGCCTCTGCTGTATTGAATGGTGAACAATGCCACTGATCCCCCTCATCCCAGTGATTATTGACTAATGCCGCGCCTCAGTGTTTCTGTTGAAACTGAGCCTGGTCGTCTGCATCCTGTTTCGATTTAGCATGGAACTATCATCATAACATTGAATTCCTTAAGGCTGTCTTTTTTCCTTCTACTTACTTAGATTAGTACAATTTCTTTGGATGACGTGAATTTTAAGAGC